CCGATTTCAGCTTTTCCTGTGCCTGCTAAATCAAGTGCGGTGCCGTGGTCAACCGAGGTTCGAATAATCGGCAAGCCGAGCGTGATGTTGACGCCTTCACCAAAACTGGTGTGTTTCAGCACGGGCAAGCCTTGGTCGTGATACATGCATAAGAAGGCATCAGCAGCTTTGATGTTTTTAGCTGAAAACATGGTATCGGCAGGTAGCGCACCAATTAAATCAAAGCCCTGCGAACACAGTTTTTCTAATACGGGGTTGATGGTTTCAATTTCTTCCATGCCCAAATAGCCGCCTTCACCCGCATGTGGGTTTAGGCCAGCCACAAAAATTTTAGGTTTTTTAATGCCAAATTTTTGCATTAAATCGGTGTGTAAAATGCGGATGGTGGTTTCTAAGTTAGCTTGGGTAATTGCAGCAGGTACATCTTTTAAAGCAAGGTGGGTGGTTGCCAGCGCAACGCGCAGCATACTTTCACCTTGGCCACCGACTAACATCATCACCACTTGTGGGGTGCCAGTCAGTTCAGCTAAAAACTCTGTATGGCCTGTAAAATTAATGTTTGCGTCATTAATCACGCCTTTATGCACGGGTGCGGTGACCATGGCATCAAATAGGCCATTCATACAACCTTTGGTTGCGGTGGTCAGGGTGTTTAGCACATAGGCACTATTGTTGACATTGAGTTTGCCTGCAACTGCTGGCTCGGCAAGTGGGTGGTGTAGCACTTGCAAGCCGCCGTTACCTATATGCGGCACTTCATCAGCACATATGTTGAGAGGTAAATTAAGAATCTGTGCGCGTTTTTGTAGCGCGTATTGATCGCCAATGACAATGATTTTGGCAGGTAATGCCTGCTGCGCTAACTTCACGCATAAATCAAAACCGATGCCAGCAGGTTCGCCAGCAGTTAAGGCAATTTTAGGTGGATTAGCATTCACAGCTAAAATTAAAATTTATCTTCAAGGCGGTATTCAACGTAAGCACGATCGCGTAGCTCGCGAATCCAATCTTGGTAAGCTTCATCAGCTTTACGAGCGCGGATCTCTTGGCGGGCTTTTAGGCGAGCCGCTTCTTTAGTCATATCTTGCCCACGACGCTCTAATACTTGAATAATATGCCAGCCAAATTGAGTTTGTACAGGCGCGCTGATTTCATTTTCTTTGAGTGCATTCATGGCTTTTTCAAATTGCGGCACAGTGTCACCAGGGTTCACCCAATTTAACTCACCGCCATTAGCGGCACTGCCATCTTCTGAAAATTGACGGGCTAAAGCATCGAATTTTTCGCCATTATCCAAACGGTCTTTGATGTGATCCATTTTGGTTTTAGCTTCTTTTTCAGACATGATTTCGGTAATTTTAATCAAAATATGTCGCGCGCGGGTTTGCTGCACCACTAGAGGTGAGTTGCCACCGCGCTTATTAGTAAGCTTAAGTATGTGAAAGCCATTTGGGCTACGAATGGGCTCAGAAACATCGCCAATTTGCATGCTATTTAATGCCTCTAAAAACAAATTGGGCATTTGTGCGCCTTGTTTCCAGCCCAAATTGCCGCCCTCTAAAGCATTTGGCGCGTCAGAAAAACTGGCTGAGACTTTTGCGAAACTCGCACCAGACTTAAGGTTTTTCATGACCTCATCAGTTTTTGCTTGGGCTTTTTGAATGTCCTCAGGTGTGCCATCAGGCGGCGTGCGAATTAAAATATGCGAGATTTCAAACTCATCTTGGCTAGTGCCAGCGGCTGCTTGGGTTGTCAGATAATTATCAACTTCAGACTCTGTGACATTCACACGACCATCCACTTCGCGCTCCCGCAGACGTGCAATGGTGATTTCGTTGCGAATATCTGACCTGAATTTGCGCATGCTAATGCCGTCTCTGCCAATAGCCTCGCTAAATTCAGTTATCGTGAGTTGATTTTGCTCAGCAATACGCTCAATCGTTTTATCAAGTTGCGCGTCATCCACACGCAGGCCCGTTTGCGCAGCATATTGAATTTGAAGTGTGTCCGAAATTAAACGCTCTAAAATTTGTTTGCGCAAAACGCTTTCTTCAGGCATTTCAGTGCCTTGCTTATTAATTTGTGCAGTAACTGTAGCAATACGGTTTTCAAGCTCGCGCTCGGTGATTACCGTTTGATCCACCACCGCTACAATACGATCCATTTTATGGACTTCAGCAGTATGTGCATTGAAAATCATGCTTGCTAACATGAAGCACAGTAGTTGTTTAGTAAATTTATTCATAAAATGTAAAAGTGTAGGCAATATCATCACTCGTAATAAGGTTGTTGATAGGTATCAGGAATAAGCCCAGTGCTGACATAGCCAGGCACACTTCGCGTAATTACCGCAAGTGGGTTGTTGCCGATGGAGGCTAAACCACCTAACTCTAACTGAAATAAGAAATTATAATTTGCATCGGCAGTTGCAGTTTCGATGCGTTGCAATACAGCGCGTGCTTGCCAGCACCCCGCATTGTATTCTAGCCCAGCAATGCTTTCAATCAGTTGTTTTTCACGCAGTGAGTAATTGACACGACCTACTCCATACCAGCCATTCTTAAGTGGCCATTGCGCTGAAACATCAAACTGGTCAATGGAATCTTGTCTATAACTGTAACTTAAATTGAGGGCTTTGCCAGGCTCCGGATTATAACGACTCATAATCGTTGTGCGCATTGATTTTGAGTCGTCAGTATTGTATTGCCAAAATGCGTCTAAATTCCATTTGGTTTTTAAGTTGGTTGTTAAGCTTGCAATAATGTCTGAGCTATTGTTGTCGCGCAATGTGGCACCAGGTAAACCTACTTTTTGGTCAGCAAAATAATAGCGTTGCCCAATAGAAGCCGCCATACGTTGCGTCCCTGTGCTTGACTCAATAAAACGTGTAGTAAATGATAGGCTGATTTGGTTGGCATTGTTAATGCGGTCGTTACCAGCGTATTGGTTTTCGCTAAATAAGGTGCTGAAGTTTAAGTCAGATTCACTGGTGTCAAACACGGGCAGTTTGCTCTGGTTTGAAAATGGAATGTAAGTGTAAAACAATCTGGGTTCCAGCGTTTGCGAATAGGCGCGCTTGGCAATTTTAAAATCACGGTCAAAAAACAAGCCGCCATCTAAACTAAGAATAGGTAGCGTTCGGCTGGCAGAATTTTGCTGAAATGGGTCATCGTCTAAACTGTAATTGGTGTGGTGAACGCCTATTTTTGGAATCAAAAAGCCATAAGCACGATTGATAGGCATACTCACACTTGGAAAAACAGTGAAGCGCGAGCCTAGCACCCTTGCAGGGGCTTGGTTATTGGTGTTAAAAGATACGAATTGGGTGTACAGATTAGTATTAAAGTCACCAAAAAAATGGTTGCCATTTAAGGTGAGTTGCGGCAAACGCTCGTAAGGGTAGGATATTTGGTCTAATGTTTGAAATTTCTGTGCTATCGCGTTAAAGCGCCAAGTTTCGTCAGCGTAATCTAGATTAAATTGTTGAGGCAAATTCACGCGGCTGGTGGTGACAATGCGTGTTGAAAGATCAGAAAAATATTGGTCATCCGAGACTTTTTCTAGACTGTAACCTGCTGACCAACCACGCCCCAAGTTGTGCTGATGTTTTAAATTAGCATAATAGCGATTTTCGCCATTTTGGTTATCACTTGGCAAAAACTCCAAGTTATCAATGCCTGAGAAATTTTCTTGTAAATATCTAAATTCACCTTGTAATTGTACACCGCGTTTACTTAACGCTCGGACGCCAAAGGTCGCATCCATATTGGGTGAAATATTCCAATAAAACGGCGTGGCAATACCAAAACCCGTTTTAGTAGAGGTGTCAAACGAAGGTGCAAGCAAGCCAGTTTTACGTTGATTATTAAATGAAAAACTGACCCAAGGGGAATATAAAATCGGTACACCTTTAAATTCAATATAAGCATTTCTGGCAACGCCTGATTCGGTGAAATCGTTGATTTCTAAATCTTTGGCTTTAATGTACCAATCTTCTACTCCGGCTGCGCAAGTGGTGTAGCGCGCTTCGGTCAGGCGTTTGGTATCTTGTCCTTCAAATAAAATTTCTTTCGCATCTCCACGCGCAGAGGTGGCACGAGGCACGCCTGAGTAAGGTTTTGCTTCAGTATCTAGCGTTTGGTTAGTGTTGGTGCCTATAGAATAAGAGCTAATACCGCCAATTTGCTGACTTTGTAAACTACCAAGACTTTTAGCAAACGCTTCAGAACTGATACTAACCCCTGGTTTTTTATCAGTGACAGGTTTGTATAAGTTAATGGAGGCATCCACCATCTCACCAGATTCGTCAGATAATTGCATTTGTAATGATGGTCCAGAAATTTTGGCATTACCAACATTAATGGCAGCATTACCTTTGACATCTAATTGGTCGTTTTGCACTTCATAGCGAATAGTGTCACCAGAAATAGTTTTGTCGTTTTGACGTATTACCGCATCGCCTGTCGCTCGAATATTGCGGTCTAAATAAAACTCCACTTTATCACCATCAATTAGCACGGCATCTTGAGTGGCTTCAGCTGCTTTGGTTGCCATTGTGGCATCTTGCAAGGTTTCTGTTGTAACATCTTCGCTTAATGTTGGATACTCAGGTGACGCGGAAGAGGGGCTCACAATGTCGCTGGTTTCATTGACAATTTCGTCTGCCGCATAAGTGCTAATGCTGACA